TTGGACGTAATCGGACAGCCTGGCTCTTCATGTCTGTGTTGTCTTGCTGACTGACAGCTGCTGCCTCAGCGTCCTGGAGAACAGCCACGATTCCAGGCTCTGATTCTGGTTTAAATAACAAGCCTGTAATTCACAGAAGAATCCAAACAAATACATTAATTATGTGATCTGTGAGTATCTGTTGGTGATGCAATTTAATCCTAAATTTTACATGGCACTGTAGCAGAGTAGTTTGTTGAATCAGCAGTAACCTGTTGTTGGTGGTTTCAGACTGTACCATTATGGTTTTTAATTATTAGCTTGCTGCTTTGAGAATAGAACTTTTACACAATTTTGCTAACCTGAAATTCATTCTAGAAAATAAATGACATGGAGGTGTGTGGTTTTGTGTGTCCAATCAGTTGTGTCTGCAAGAGTTCATCATTTTTTGTATGATTAGAATTTCATATTAGATACTTCAGGAACAAACAAGCTTTTGAAAACAAACGCAAAAATGGCTAAATTGTAAAGTCGAGATTTGAAATATGGATGTTATGATGCAAGGACATACAGCTACTAAGAACGCTGTAAAACAAGCCCCAATCCACCCAAGTCACTCATCTACACAGAATGTGTAAGACCATTTTCCCAATAGTATCCCAAATGAGAAGAATGGGTCCTGTGATCAAATATTACAGATGCAGTGGCATATGGTGTATTTTGTAGTTGATAACACCTGATTTTATCGAATTTTTGAAAGGTTTTCTAAATCCAATCATACCAAGCATTTGATCAGCTAGTACTTCGACTACTGTAAAGGATATGATCAAATTCAACTGTGGACATGATATAACATAATGGGATCCAGCAGGGGGTGCTCGAGACCATAGTAAAGCTGCACTGTTGCCCAGCGACGAATGCGCCAACCGTGAAGTGCACCAGATTAAAGAAAGCAGACTGTCCGAAGTAAAACATTTGACTGTGGCGTTAAAGGTAAGCCTTAAGTGTTTTATATTGGTTTCTGGATTTAGTTTACATGATACCAAAGCTAAATTTAAAGTTAAAAAAAAAAAA